CACACACACACACACACACACACACACACACACACAGGGGTGCACTCGTTCAAGTTTGACTCCTGTCAGAAGCTTCATGTAGGTTTGAGTCTTTGTCTACAGTGTTGAAACGCTGCTGAGCCCTGTGTCCATAATCTGACCCATCAAACATCCACGGACACTTCATCCCTGTGGTTCTTTGTTTCAAGCACAGACTCCCTGCACTGTAGCAGCACACAGATTCAAGATCCACACAAACAACAAGCTCTTCATCCGTCACCTGCTGGAAACCCAGTCAACAGCTTCTGCATCGAATGTGTAAACGGAGAATCAAGGGATTTCAACCCTGGAGGTCAAAAGTCCGGAGGCAGTGACTGGAGCAGCAGTAGGCCACAAAACTCACAGTCGTCCTGAAGAGGAAGGAAGTGAGGAAACAGAGTGAGAGAGGTTAGTGGGGAGGAATTCATTTGCGAATACAAAATACTATTCTCTTTTTTGGTGTGTTTGTTTGAACCTGCGGTGCACTCCTGCCAGGGCGGTGTCACGGAGGGGGAAGAGTTTGGGGTAGATGATGGTGAACATGGCTTGGCTGCAGCGGTGACAGTGACCCAGAGGGAACTGCAGCAGGTCCAGGAGGCTCTTTGGGAGGGTGATGGGAGGCAGCAGGTTCAGGTCTATAAAACAACAACACAGGAAATACAAAATACTTTTACTTGGTGAATATACTTTCAGAATTTGAATGCATATGTTTCTTTGTGGCTCTCTGCTTTACTTTCAAACAATTCAACATCAGTCAGTATGGTGAACACACAGGTAAACAGACGCTGTGTCCAGAATCAGCAGGTTTTCGTGATCGTCCTGCCATTACTGCTGTCGCCTAGCAACAGAACTGCAGTTTGAAACGACAAGAAAGTTTTAATGCCTTTTGTTTTCGTACCATCAGTTGAGCTGAAGTTTGATACTCAAACATCAACTTGCCAGCGCCATTACCTCAACGAAGAGCAATAAATCCCTGGATGGGTTGGCCCAAGAAGGATCCACCCGTTGAAGCCTTTGTTTCTCAGGTATGACAGGATGTATATGTTGGAAACATTTGAGGGACAGTCTTGTGTCACTGTAACACAATGGGTCTTCAAGCCCCTGGAAGATGTGGCCCCAGAATTGAGACACAGCGACAGTGTGCCTTTACACCTCACCTGTTGGCCGGTGGTGGTAGATGCGGTGCAGTGTCCTCATGGCGAGCTCCTCCAGGGGAACCACGTTATCGGTTTCTGAGCCAACCACCTTCACTTCAGCTGATAACCCGACCAGGGCTTGACTCAGCGCCTCACCCGGGACCTCTCGCAGGTCGCCCTCCAGCCCCTGCGATGACACTCCGCACCTGCACAGAAGCAACACACGGCTTTTCATATTTCTCTCTTTTCTATAATCTAGCTCCATAACTCAACCAATGCAAGCGCACTGTTATCCAGGTTGGTTGTTACCCGCTGCAGCCGATGACCTTGTTATACAAGTATGAGGGGAGGCCTTTCAGGTCCACGTTATTGTCCACAAAAACAAACTGCAGCTCCCGCGATCTGCCCAGATCTGAAACACACATACAGCATATTCACATTTCCTTGGTCATTTCATCGTCATCACTATGGCAACGCACAGATAACAGGTTACACGGACCCAGCGGTAGAAAGGTCAGCCGGTTGGCAGCCATGGAGAGCTGGTTGAGGCGGTGGAGCCAGCAGAGCTGCCGGGGAACATGGCACAGCAGGTTGTGGTCGGCTGTCAGATTCTGTAGAGACAGACAGCGATGCAGACGATGTGGTAGAGACATCAGCTGATTCATGGATACGTCCAGAGTCTCCAGTTCGTGCAGATCACCGATCTCTGGAGACATCCGACAAACACAAGAGAGAGAGACTGAATCAACCTTTACAAATCTGATTTCTATATTTTTTTTAATCAATTAGAATATTGGTTACCCTTTATAATCTTCAATCATTGAAACCTGTTCACATTTATAACTTACTTACAGTGAGTGAGAGACAGTTGTGAACACATCTGAAAACTGGAATGTAATGAAACATTCACAGAACATCAAGGATAGAACTCACTTTATGAGTCTTTCAGATACATTTTTATTCTCACATTTTGCTTTTTTCCAATAAACAATCATAGATTGTCGACATGTGAACAATGTTTTCATTTGAATAAAAATCAAAAATTGTGATATGGCTTTTAAATGTGAGGTTGAACATCAACTGAGTTCATTTTTGCTCAAGAGTAAAATGCTACTAAACAGAATAATGTTGGATCTTTTAGTTATGATGGTTTCTGTTAATATTTGCCTCACACAGATTATATTATCAGCACCTTGTCCCTGAGGACAGTGACTTCATTTTATTTGAGTGTTGCTGCTGCCCTCTGCTGGCCGACAAGATACAACTCACCCACAGTTACAGTTGGAATTCTCAGAAATGTAAATGTCAGTGACCAGCTCGCAAACATGACTTTGGACCTGGCACAGCTAAAAGGTTAAATCGATTTGCTTGGGTTTAAACTGTGTGTTAGATAGAAATCTGCCATTTAGAGAGTTGTTTGGTGCAGCACACGTACACACTCTGTATGCTTTTATCTTATTCATCTGTTACATGCAGTTAATTTAGTCATATTCAGTTGACACTTCAAATGTGTCATGTTTTGGTCTTGATGCTTTTATTATATAAACTGACATTATTCATTTCTATAAGACTTTTTCTGAATATTTCTTCAGAACTCATTACTGATAATAACAGAGTAAAAATGTAGTACAGACAACACCGGAAAAAAAACAGGGCGGACATCTGCTGGTTTTTACCTGGAGGAATGCATTTCAGCTGGTTATTGGACAGTCTCAGGTGCCGCAGGGACCTCAGTCGGCCAATCTCTGGACAGAGGAGCTGGAGGGCGTTATTGCTCAGATCCAAGGACTGCAGCCTGGCCAGGTTTCCAATAGCTGAGGATCAAACCACAGTCACATAAATTATGTCCAACTTCTTCTCCTGTCACACATGCAGATATAACCAGTCAAATATAATCATCAGGTTGGATTCCAGAAAGATGGATTTTCTAAAATGTCTCTAGTTTAAATATCTATTAAGTCATGTCAGTACAAATAAATCAGTGTCATCTGCTGTTTCAAGAAAACTAAGTGACAAAGAAAGATGATAGAAATAAGTGTAGACTCAGGTATGTGATTATGACGTCAGGGTGTACTTACCTTCAGGAATAATCATTATGTTGTTTGAGTGCAAATACCTTAAAGAGAAAAAAAATGTTACAATACAAACTGATTTTCATTTGTTTCACCATTTCTTTAACGTGGAAAGATCCCATTAAGATACAATATCTCTTATACGAGGGACTGTTGATTAGGATGGGCAGTGAATTAGACTCAGCTATTTGATATCTCATTGGTTAAAGTTCACTAATAGTGTGAGGCCTTTTATTATCATGTCTGTGAGCTGCTGGTGTCAACCGTATGTGTGTAATAACCAGCCTGTTACAATACATAATGTCAGCAGATGCAAATTACAAAGACTTCACATGTTTAGCAGTCGTTTACCAGTCAATAATAACAACACAACACAAAGGATGATTGTCGAGGGGACGTAGCAACACTTTGGAGTAAAATAACTAAATAATAAAAAAATATTTGTAGAAAAAAACCCATGTAGCCGAGCACTCACAGTTCAATTAGGTTTGGGAGCTTCTGAGCAAGATTGTCAGGCTGAATGGAAGAAAGAAAGGGAGAGAAAAAGCAGAAACACTCAGTGAATACAAGTTACTCCATTTCTGAACGTAAGTACATTTTTCACGTATCTGTACTTGACTTAAGTAGATGATTTCCAGACACTTTGCACTTTTACCTCACTGCATATATCAGCAATCTGTACTTTCAAGTGCACTACATTTTAACAATGCAATATGTTTAAAACAACACCATCTCCTGCATTAAGGAATACGCTACACTTGACACTGCTTAAATTAAAGTATATTTAAAATAAAGCACTTACTTGCTTTACCTCAAGTAGAAAAGTTTATGAAGCACATTTTTGTCTATTTACTTGAGTACAGTTTTGCAGTACTCCTCCACCACTGCTGATGTCTGACACAGTAAAAGCATCATGTCCTGCTGTGTGCGTACCAGTGTAGTGAGCGAGTTCCTCTTCATGTACAGCCTCTCCAGAAACTGCAGGCCCTCGTCCTTCAGCAGCTCCACGGGGAAGATGTTCAGGTTCTTGTAGTTGAGGAACAGGTTCTTGTGGCGCTCCTGCTTGGCCATGAATATCGTCTCGTGGAGTTCATTTGCCATCTCTGAGGAGAGCTCTCCTCCCCGGTGGAGAAGACTGGGCTCTGCCTCCTTCGTCTATGTCATCGCTGAGAGGGGGAAACAGAGCAGGAGCGTCGTCACACAGCAGAGAGGACTGAACCCATCGTCGTGCTAAGCTCGCAGACCGTGTGGCTGCGGGAGATAACAGCTGATTCAGGAGCAGTCCTCTGGAGATCACTGAGGAAGCTGGAGTGAATGTGAGAAGCAGCCTGTGGCTAGCTTCTACAGTTAGCTGACATGTTCCATACCCATCACCGTTAGCATGCGAGCTAAGAGGCTGCTGTTAGCTGGTTGCTTCCAATAACAGGAAGGAAGTTATTCGCCTTACCTGTGCGGGAGTGTGTTGATGTCATCTGAACCCCACACACACTCGGGACCAGCTTATATTTAGACGCGTGCTCGTACAAACACATGAAGCTCGCGACGTCAAGGGTCGCACAGCAGCAACAACCTGTGACGTCACCCAGCTTCTCATTCGTCTCTTCTGAAGGACCCTGCAGCAAACGGCGCTATGCTGCCACCTGTTGGTAAAACGTTCAAATGCATCGTATTTATATAGAACGTGTAGTCACGTGCAGTTTCATCTTTATTCAGAGCAAAACAAACAATTAGAATATGAAATACGATGCTTGCTTATAGATGAAACCACCGGACATACTATATCAAGTTTTAATGTTTAGTCAATTATTTTAAATGTCATTTTTTCTTGTGATTTATGAAAATTGCAACACTTTTATTTCCCTCTTGTTATTGGTACTTGTTCTCTATACCTGTGTTTATGCATTCATCAGTCATGATAATGCAGTCATTATATTATTCAAAGATTACTTTTACATTTGAAATTTTAAGAACAGTTTAATGATACTACTAATAACTCTGAACCCTAGGACCCACATTTCACAGTCTTTGCACTACCATTGCCATTTGCACACTTACTGTATATCACACAGAAAAAACTTCTGCTGCTACTACAGACTGTGTTTGCACTATCACAACTCATTGTATATCACCATATTATATTATAATATATTATTACTTTGCTGCTACCTCATACATTTGCACTAAGAACTGTCATTTTTATTTATTGTCTACTTTAGTTAGGATATGTCTGTCTTCATTTGTTGTGCCTGTTCACTTTACTGTTACTTTTGTTAGAAAAGGTCTTGTCTTGTCTTCACCGTGGGATAGTTAGGAATGCAATTTCAATTCCTTTGTATGTCTGGTATATGTGAAGAATTTGACAATAAAGCTGACTTTGACTTTAATAAGAAAATGTGGATATCAAGATCATAGTGATGGAACCTCTTTATATACAGTCTATGGGTGGAACGTGATTAAGGTGGCAGCTGATGGTGGATCCTGATGGCGGTAGTGGATCATGATGACGGATTATAATGGTGGATCCTGATCGTGGACTATGATTACACCAAGACTGCTTGATATACTGTCTACTCAGGTACTCTACTGACAATAATTCCTCAATTAATTTACATCTGAATTTAGATACCAAAATAGTTTATGTATTCATGTATACAAAATACCTTATGGTATGTGGTCTAACAGCTAGAAAGTTAATGCATCAACCTCTTATTTAGTTACTTAATTATGTTAAGTCGTTACTTGGAATAAGATCACTCTGCATCTTTCTAAACCTTTCTGTTGGAGATCCAGTTTTATATTTAGCTCTGCCACCATTGTGCTGTGCTGGTAATCACATTGACTCTTGTTTGGAAGTCACTTAGCAAAATTGCATTAGAAATTCTACACCTGCACACCTCGAGCATGCGGCTACTTCTCAAAATGGAATTTTAGATTGTGTAGCTTGTAAATTGTTTCAGCGACTTTGGGATGAGAAACGTTGGTTGCCTGTGATTCTTGAGCTGTTGAAGTACATACTGTATGTACTTGGCACAGCCGCTGAAAGTTTCTGCCCTGCTACCTAAATACATTGTACCAGATAAACTGAATATGGAGGATTGGATACTTTACCCTCACTAGCAATGGTTGAACTGTAGCAGCATTGGTGGGCAGATGACACACAGTTCCCACAATGACGAGCAGTGAAACAGTTTGCATACATTTTAATTCATCTTAAATCTCATGTAGAAAAAAAGAATCAGAGAAACAGACATTCTCTTCCTTCAGCCAATCATTTCCCCAGTACTCAGATTATATTGATAACAGGAAAAATTCTTACAACAGCATGTACAAAAGAAAAAAATCAAACTTTCGTCTAACAGATCATTGCAGTTGAAAAGAGCTGGAAGGCTATGAATAATTTACACACATCAAAATCTTGGTAACAAATTGGCCATCGATGTAACAAAAGAAAAAGAAAGAAGAGATTTGTTTGATTTTCTGTCCGCTCTGTGAGGTGTTCCAGTGGTATAAGTGAGGCAAAAATCAGACCACAAACAGCGAAAACCCATCCTGACCTCATCACGTCAGTTCAAACCGGCACAAGACCACCACAGTCTGCTGCTGTGGGCGGACTGGACCAGAGGACTCATATCACTGAGACTCCCAGCCTGACATTACAAGGCTGCCCTGTGAGGGTGTGAAGAAGACTTGTGAAAAAAAAATAATAAAAGAGAGAGAGAGAATAGTAAGGATGCTTTTTTCCTGGGATTATGATCACCATGGCAACAGGTCTAGGCACAAGGAACAGCACCTGTAAATCCTGTAATGGTGGTAAAAAAACAAAGAGGAGGAGGGGGAAAAAAACATAAAACATCTGAATCTAGCTCCTCACATACTAGAGCCTTTTCTCAAGTTAAACCACTGTTTCCTGATCCAAATATATATAGTATCCAGAAATGTCTTACTTGAATTTGTGCAACAAAAAAACTAAATTGAAAGTTTGTATCAGCTGTATTTGTTTATATTTATGTTCAGTTGTTTCTTTACAAAATAAAATGTTTACATTTTGTTGTTGAAAAAGAAAAAGAAAGGAAGATATCATGTCCCAGCTACCTAGACAGGATATACAGTAGCAATTTGGAAAATGTATTTTCTTGTCAGGCAAAGGACCCCCCCCCAAAAAACAGATGCATGTAATAAAGTAATGGCAACACATGAGAGCCACAAACTGCAACTACACTTCAAAGTAGTGGGGGGAGGGGAGGGAGAGGGGAGCGGGAGAAAGGGAGGAGGTGAGGAGCCTTTAACCACAGGGGAGGAACACGCTGCCGCCTCTCAAAGCAGGGCCGCACTTCCTTCCTTCTTCCAGCTCCTCTCACACCCGAGCATCCGAGAAATAAAACCAGCCTTCTCATCTATTCTAAGCCCAAGAGAAGAGTTACAGAACTCGTCTTTATGATCTGAGAATGGTTTGGTTTGTGGTTTGAATTTGACCTTATCAACAGCACTCAGCCGAACAACAGAGATGAAATGTTTTTTTTTCCTGTATAAAGATTGAAAAAGAAAAAAAAACAGTGAGGTAGATGGATGGTTGAAGGAATAACAACAAAACCTTCCCCCAAAATAGCAAAAGAATGTAAAAATATTAGAAGGAAAAAACAACTTGTGGGGAATTTGTACAGTGATTTAACACTTCACATGAAAGGAAACATAAATAACCAAAAACATCTGGGCAGGGAAAATCCAAACACACCTTTTTGAGGTTAATGAGCCTTTAAAATCTATTCCATGTGGTCCTCTCTGATTATACACCTCTTCATTTTGTCTGTTAGCAGTTAGATGTTCAGCACATAGGACCTTAGTTAGTTCTCTTGTCGAAGTCAGATTGAGTCGTCCAATAACACAACATGTGCAGGATTTGTTTAACAGCGTCATCCTCGGGTGTGAAATCTTACTTTACGTAAAGCATTTTAAAAAAAATTCTCAGAGCTGTTAGATAATTCCACCCATTTCTCAATCCAACTTAACTTCAGCAATCTTCTACAAACATGCTAATATGTTGAAAACAGATAAATAATATGGATTACTCCAGCAGCACCCTTGATTCAAGAGAAACATTGATTAGCAGGAAGTGAAATTATCCAAACAGACAGGGCTTGTTTTTTCTTGCACTTGCCTTCAGAAAAATAAGATGTTCACACCTGCCGCTGAACGGAATCAATTTGATTTTGAATTGACTTTGATCCTTGAAGCAAATTTAACGAAGCCTGAAACGTACAAAAAAATGAATGAAATATTATCAGAACCGGTGAACTCATCAATAATACTGTTATCTAAACTAAAAGTAAAATACTAATCTTTACTCAGTGTAATTCAGTTCACTCTGTTTATCTTTCACTCGCTCATTTTATTCTCCAGTATGTCAGTTTTCCTTTAAGTTGGCGCACATTTAATCATCTATATTCACATGACTATACAGTGCTGATATGATGCCAACACCGCTGTGTCCATGTGTAACATAGTCCAGCATTTCTATGTGTGTGTAGCATCTGTCTAGCTTCCCTAAAATTACTGCTAGCTAAACACAAAGAGCCGCTATCAGCTAGCAAACCAGCTGCAGCTAAATGTGCCATATTAGCTAGCTCACACTAGCTAAGAGACATCATGCTATTGTTTTCATAATAAGTTTACATCTTTAAATTTGTATTTCTTGTCCTCATCAATTTTGTTTGTCATTTAATGACTCATGTATTGAAATAAACAAAGTGAAATAGAAAAGCTTGAGTAGCATTAGCTTGCTAACTCTGTTGATGCTTGTGTGTTGGCTAAAATGCTTTAGTGTCAAAAACATTGCAGGAGAAAAACGAGGGGCATATAAAGAATACATTTTATAGTGAGACCACGAAAAAGGAAAACTAAGGAGTTGAAAAATAATATGAGCTTGTGTAAAAAAGAAGTTGAAGTAAATTAAGTTTTAATTCATTTTAACCACTGAGTGGGCAACTATAAAACAAATAGAAACGTTTCTTGTTAATGACAGGACATTAAAACAAAAGTAAAAAAACAAACATTTTTTTTGATCCGTTTCGATTATTTAACCAACAGTAGGCCTATAATTTATTAACATATTGTATTTAGACTCATTGACTACATTTTTGTAGCCAATGAGTCTAAATATTGGGGCTCCATATAATAAGTGCAAGGACCCATTGAAAACTGGAAAAACCCATTCTGGTGTCAGACTGATGTAAAGAAACATTGCTGTTGTCTAATGATGAGAGAAAATGCAAAAACAGAGTTAGAGGGACATAGAATGAGACACACACCGGACAGGATGTCTCTGGGTATGACAGCACAAAAAAGAACGTAGAAAAGGATTTCACTTTTCTCTTTGACCTGAGATTTAGTTGGGACTCAGCAGTGAAGATTGACCTCTGAGTTTGATGATGGGTAGAGGTGGTCTAATCCGAACCTTAGAGGACCGAGGTCGAATGTGTCCCGTGGGGAACATGAGAACTTTGATGGTCACTGGCACCATCGCAGTCCTATCGTCAGATGGGAGGGGACATTACAGGTGTTTTGAAAACACACAATTTCAATTGTCATACCTTTTTTACGCAAACACAGAAATGAAACTAGGTCAGATACACTTTATACAGTTACAAGCATTAAAAAATGGACTGTACTGGAAACGTTCGTAGATCCAACCTGAAGGAGTTCTCTTTTTATATATAGATATTAACTATATTACAACCACAAGAGAAACAAGGAATAGCAGCTTCGTTCTGTACATGATAAATGTCTCCAACCATACAAAAGTTAGAAAAGTGACACAAACAACTGGTGTGTACATATATGCTCTGCCCATGTAGAGATGTTGTAAATGTTGGAGACTAATGGCTAGTCTAAAAAAATACCTGTTTGTATACAGCAAGGGCGCCTCTGAACAAGGAGCTAACGCAAAGTGAGAGACTTTATAGATCTAGTGTTCATATTTATCTTCTTCTTTATGCTTCATTCCCTTTGCAGTTCTCACCTCTTTTTGTTTTTGCCTCTTTATCGACTGGAATTGGCAGTTAAACTGTAACGGAACAGCACTTTGTGACAGGATGTGGCTCAATTTCAGATGAATTGATTGTAACCTATGTCTATGACTCTGATATAGTACAGTATGTGTGTATATCAAACAGAAATAGAGGAGTGGTATAGGATTGTAGAGGAGTGTGTTTCATTAAAAATGTACTAACAGTGTAGTAGCAGATCCAAGTGCTTTTGTTTTGCTTCCATTTTCAATCCGGTGTGTTACAGGGCAAGACTGCAGAGGAGATCGTTTGACAAAAAGTACAATTTTGGCAACAAATTTGGCAGATTTGAATTTTCTTCCCCTGGTTGTTCAAGATTCAGCAGAATGGCTGTCGACCTGGCATTACGCTGAGACCCACCATGTGGCAACACGTCTACTGAACGACCAATGGAGACGCTGACCTCTTCATTTGATATGCTTTACAGTTTCACTATAATGCCCGCCCAAAAGCGATCAAACCACCAGTCGTTTATAAAGGCCTATACATTTTGTCTTCCCATTTGGAAATATATATAAAAAGTAGCAAACAACGATTTATAAAATAAGATCATCCATAAAGAGAGAGAGACAGAGAGATCTCCCCCATAGATTTTTATATTTTCCTGTCTTTTACCGTTTTTTTTTCTTTTTTTGGTCTTTCCACTCAGCAGCGAGGGCAGTGTCACATCTGACAGCCAGCTGGTAGAAACCACAAGTAGAATAATATGAAAAGAGTGTATGGAGTTACAGCAGAGCATGAACTAACAGTAACAGAAACAACAGTTTCTTCTGACTTCCTGTGAGTCTTTGCTCCTCTCTGAGTAGCCACACCCAGATAGTAGGGATGGTTTTGCTGTTTTATCTATACTATAAAAAAAAAAAAACATCACACCCACTGTGACATCAGGTTCCGCAGAGCAGCAGGTGGGAGGGTTTGCCGTCTGGTGGGTGTCTCTATTCCATCAGCAGGCAGACGACTGCGGGAGGGGCATGGCCCGTTCGTTTTTGCGTCCACCGTTCATGTGTGCATACGGCGGCAGTTCCTCCAGAGACGGCCGCATTGTGCCGCCCGCGCCTGTTCCGAGCCCCGACCCTGCTGCAAGGCTCGGACCCGACAGCCCGTTGGCCGCCTGCTGGCCTGACGCCTGCTTGTCCATGGCAGCGGTTGATGTACAGGGAGAGGAAGGGGAGCTGGGGCTCAGTGAGGGGGCAGGTGGAGCCTCTGAGCTTGGGGAGGGCGGGGTCTGTTGGGGGACTAGGGCTTGCTGTGGCTGTGTGGATGAAGGTTGGTCCACAGGAACATCTTCAATGTTGTCCATTTTGTCCAGGTGGACCTGCTGCTCCTCGCTCGGCTTGTTGTCAGCACTGTAGAAAAAACTAACCTCTTTGAAAGACACCTCCAGTTCATCCTTGAGGCTGCTGATGATCTCCACAAAGGATGGACGCATTTTAGGATTGTACTGCCAACACATTCGCATCAGTTCGAACCTACGCACACACACACAGAAACACACACAGGTTAGCTCTTCCTACCAACATGCTAAAGCTTCTTGTATGTTTGCTTCCTGTTGCTAAAGTATCTTTAAGTTTAGCCTGTCTTCTGTGACAGATTTTGGATCCAGGGGGAGTGGAGCACAAGTATTGTTCTTTCTTCTGGTTACAACAATTAAAATAGTAGTAGTAGTATTATCTTACAATTCATTTAATGAAGGAAGTATATTTTCTGAATTCTGAACTGTACATTTAAGACTGAACGAACTGTTGTATGTAGAGTGGATACTGTGTATGCAATTTAAAACTATGCCATACAACACCATGTAGTTTAGAAGTACGTGTGTGTGTGATTGCTGTTAGAGAACCCTCACATGAGCAGAGAGTTGATTTTGAAAGAAAGCCCTCATCATTATTCTCACAACAAACCCTGTGGCTTCCCATTTCTTCTACTCATGACTCCACCACCCTCAATGTTTTTGTGGTTGGTGGCCAAATTTATCTGCAACGTTCACAGCTCTTTTGATGTGGGTTTTTACTCAGGCTCTTTCATATTAAGTACAAACACATCATGGAAAACACAAGAGCACACAGTGACAAACAGACGGGCGGTGGTATGGAAATCCCAACGACCCGCAGGCTGAAGGGGAGCAGCAGAAAAGCTTTACTGTTTGTGAGAATGAATATAAGTCATGTATGATAGAACTAGTGGAGTAGAAGAAAACAAGATGCCAAGATAGTAGTTTGTAGGTGAGTAGTCTGTTGATGTGTTACTCGGCAGAGAAGAGTGTGTGTGTGTGTGTGTGTGTGTGTGTGTGTGTGTGTCTTACAGCATGTCAGGACAGTTTTGTGGTTTCTCCAGCAGTCCTCCCTCCATGACAAAGCGGAGCACCTGCTCATTGGACAGACCCTGGTACGGCTGCTCAGCCAGAGTGGAAATCTCCCACAGTACAACCCCAAACGACCTACAAAGGGGGACAGAGGGAGGCGGGGGTAAATAAGTGTGGCTTCCATTATCACAGTTATGATCACAAGACAGTTTTGGAAGCAGTTAACACAGAAAATGAAGCAGCCATGTGTGTGTGTGTGTGTGTGTGTGTGTGTGTGTGTGTGTGTCTGCTCACCAAACATCAGAGTTAGTAGTAAAGACTCCATCCTTCAGAGACTCTGGTGACATCCAGCGGACAGGGAGCAGACCCTTACCACCTTTGCGGTAGTAATCTGTCTCATATATGTCTCTGGTCATGCCAAAATCTAACATAACACATAAACAGAAGTGAAAATGACAAAAGTGAAAAACTGGACCAAACGCAAATTTGGCCACATAACAAACCAGACAGTGGATGTAAATGTCTTCATACTTCTTGTTATTCTACATGTTGTCTGTTGTGTGGTCCATATTACATAGGAGGGTGACATTTGCGAGGTAATAAACCAAGACATATTACTGTAAGCATGATCCTTTAGAGATCACTCTGTGCTGGTATTATAGTCCACATATGATGGAAGCGTGTTGACAAATGTACACCACTGGTTTTAGAAGGTTCCCTTTACTAGGATTAGGTACAACCCAGGACCTGTGCGGGTTCAGATCCAGGTTTTATATCCAGGTCCTGTTTAAAATGCGTTTTTCATCCGTCATCGTGTCAGAAAACGTACATTTAATCTGAAACCACATGTGGATAAAGTTTGTAACCATGAAGAGCTCTAACTAGGATTAACGTTCCCCTGATAATCTGGTTGTCCAGTAGCTACCATTTCATTTCCACTTAATGAGCCTGCTCTAAACCCCCTCCCGCTTCAGTTTCTCAGGTGACAGTGACCTCTGACACCCTCTACAGTTCTTTACCTCCAATCTTAACGATGAAGTCCTCTGCCACCATGCAGTTCCTGGCTGCCAGATCTCTGTGGACAAACTTGTTGGCGTTAAGGTACGCCATGCCATCAGCGATCTGCCCTGCCATCTGAAGCATCTTCTTCAGCGGAGGGAGGGACAGGCTCGACCACTGCTGCTGCAGACAGAAAGACGGACAGAGAGAAGAGTAAGTTCTACTTGAAGAACAAGGTCCTGATGGTTAAATATCTGACTGGGTTATGATTCTAATTCATTGTGTCTTATATACAGTTCCTTAATATTCCTCTCTACATAATATGGAGGTTGATAAAGTTTTAGAATGCAAAAACAAAATTGGTAATGGCTAAGATAATTATTAAACCGTTCAGTTTAGCGCTCTTAACGACTATATTACTAATAAAAAAGATAAACAAATAAATCAGTCAAGCTCTACTTATTAGGAGCAGCTGAATCCATTTATAAGAGGTTTCTGAATGTGGCGCATTCTATCTGACAACCAGAAGATGATAAGTTGCCCTCACTCATCACACACAACCAGAGAGTTTCAAAGTTTCAAAAGTAGAAGAGGAATAAATAAACCATTGTATCCAAAAGAAGGGCTGACCACCACCTCTTTCTGGTTGGAAGAAGCAAATGCAGTTAATAAGTCAGACAGTACCTCTTTAGGTCGGAGGGAGCGTAAGTAACTCTTTAGGTCTCCTCGTGTCATCAGCTCCATGATGACCAGAGTGGGCTGACCCTGAGAGACCACTCCCAGGAGACGAACCTGCAAAAAACACAACACATCGCCATGAGGCAAAATGGACTCACAATCCGGTCCCCTGCAGAAACTGATCTGACCTTGTGTTTATTCTTCAATACACTAATGTGGATTCAAACATATGTTTATTCTCTAATGGTTTAAAAGTCTCAGTGCAAAGTGGAGGAACATCCAGTTGCCTAATGTTTAAGGATCCCTCTGGGTGTTGTGTGTGTATGTGTGCATATCATGTCATTGGATGTGCGTACCACATGGTGACAGTTGAACTCCTTCATGACGGAGGCTTCATTGAGAAACTCTATTCTCTCCCTCATGCTGGCGGACTCGTTGACAGTTTTGATGGCGACTCGTGTCTCTGGCTCATCTTTCACCACGCCCTTCGCCAAGCCTTCGTACACCATGCCAAACGAGCCCTGGCCAAGCTCTCGACTCAGGACGATCTTCTCCCGCGCAACCTCCCACTCATCTGGTACATACACTGTGAAAATATTCATGTATTAAAACTCACAATGCTCAATAAAACTCCACACTACATAAATCAGATCAACATCATACTCACTTTCCGCAGCACTGAAGTACTCTGGATTGACCGAGGCATACAGGACTCCATTTCCAAGACGGTCGCTATTCCTGACCAAATAAAAAACAGAAGCTGTTTATATACACACTTGCATTTAACTTTACACTCACACAATATTCTTATCTACTGCTGGGATCTGCATTGAGTACAATGATAGATATCTGTTTCCAAAAGAACACTGGCGTGATGTAGTACTGAATCATTTTAGATTAAAAGCTACTGTGGCGAGAGGAATTTAATTTAGCAGTAATTGATTCAATAAGAAAAAGATTACAGTTTATTTATGAGGTGTCTATTACAGTGTGATCTCTATAAACAGATTTGAATATGCTGATAGCTGTTAAGTGAGGTTAACCAAAATATCTTCTGGACCTAAAACCTTTGATTTTGTATTTTGTTTGGAGAAATATTTCGAGTCGGACTGTAAACAGAGCGGATGATGGAGTCTTGGTCCGGATATCCGCTGTGTACACTGGAAGCCCCAAAATATTGGCTGTTGCCCCCTTAAGCGAAATTGTCGTAAGGTGATAGCCAATGGGCTCAGAGATTTAAGACAGGAGCAGTTCAATTCCTGCAAAAATGAATGTCTTTATTTTATATATATTATATTGGTGTTTATATTATAGGACATGTGCTGCTTTGGTTCGGCTTGGTGAGGTCATCTTCAACAGGTTTTCTTTGAATGCATTTAGTATTAAGATATTTAGGGGTAAAGAAACAATCACTGAGCTCTACACACATATAACTACTAATACACAGAATCACACACCTTTTCTTGTTGAAGGCCACCAGCATTGTGACCAGCAGGCAGATGAAGAGGATGATGGCGATGGGAATAAAGATCATAGCATAGAGGACGTTTTCATATCCTGTTGGGTCGAACATTTTGATTACTGTTGTTGTTTCAGTCAAAATAATATAATATATATATATAGTGCATAATAGTATATATAGTGTGTGTTATTAGAAAACTGGCAAAAAACCGGGAGGGAGAATTTCAGTGTACAGATGCAGAGAGTGTTTGCGCCTTACGTTCAGCTACATAGAGATCCACAATGTGTGTCCAGGAGCCGTTGCCAGCCAACGACGTGGCTCTCACTCTGACTGAGTAGTTTCCTGGACTGAGGTTGGAAAGCCGAACCCCACGCTGGGCCTGATACATCTGACCAGAGACACACTCGTGTTTCTCAGTCTGACACATGCACAAACACGCACACACACACGCACAGTGAGGAATTGAGAGAAAAAAATTAAAGTTAACTATTGACAGAATTATTTGAGTAATCCAAAAGAGAATCCATGACCTGCTGTTTTTAATTTTTATTGGGCAATGACAATTCAGAGTGTTCACAGATGTAAACTCTTTCTACCTCATGAACAATGAATAATAAATCTCATCTCTATTCATTGGGCCTGTTGCTTGGTTATAATTATGCACCCTGCTGCTGTCACTTAAGAAACTGCTGTTTCTTATGTATAAATATTTCACTCCTGTTAACTGGATTAATTCTTATGAAATGTATATTTCTTTCAGTTCATGACCAGAAATAATAATAATCATAATAAATAAGTGTATATTCATTAACATCAACAACAAATCATATTTATCAAAACGACATCTTTTATAAAAAATGCAGAAAATCTTGCAAGTTCAAGAGGATTAATTGAACAATTAATGTAGTGTATGAAGCTAAAGTCCTTTATTCATGAAGAGGATGTCGACTTTCCTCAAACTACATGACAGGACAAACAGAGGGTCCACCAATATTGTATTCAAATGTGGACTCATCTGATTAAAATGAAATTAATACTTATGAATTTGTATTTCTTTTAAATACATTTTCATCTAGCAGGTTCTGAGTGACGGTGTGCAGATGTTGTTTTACCTCAGAAGCCAGTTTAAACTTGATCTCATACATGAGGATGAGTCCATTGGGGTGAGGTGGCTCTGGCCAGCGCAGAAACACCCAGTCCTCATGGCCCTCCACGGTCACCTGGCCCGGAATGTCGTCAGCCTTTTCTGGAAAACACAGGAAAAACGTTAGCATTGCGGCCAAATGACAACGACGACAACAACCACCTCTTAGCCACCCAGTGGTTGAGTTACACTTCTCTAACCTGCAGGCTTGGTTCTGGAGAAGACAAACTCTGCTGCGCTGCAACGCTGGACCTGTCGATTGCAGGCGTGAATGTCAATGCGGTACACAGTGAACGGCTGCAGGCCAGAGATCTGCAGCTCGCGCTCCGTCACAGCTTGCTCCATGAACTCAAACTCTCTGTCCGCTGGCTCCACGTCAGCCAGGTTGCTGCTGTTACCAGCGGCTTGGTGAGGAGGGACATTGCTGCTGTTGGTGTGCAGGCGGTTGCGGCGGGAGTGAGTGGAGTTGGCGATGCCAAAGAGATCTCTGCGGCGACGATCTGGAGGCCTGGAAGAGAATGTTGGAGATACAAGGGGAGAAGGAGGGAGGAAGGAGAGAAAAGTTTGATTTTGACTGATAAAAAACATCCATATCATTCTGTTCTGAAAAATTATTTTCTTTGAATTTAGTCATTTAAACTAACTAGCAACTTAACTAGCTGTAACATCAAAGAGATGTACAACACGTGGAGAGTTTTGTGAACTGAGGTGGATTAAGCAAAAGTCTTGCTGAAACATGTGTCTGTGCATTTTGTTGTTCGCTCCTTAGCCTTTTATTTCAATGTTGATGTCACAGTTACTAAAATTCCTCACTCAGCTCAGAGTGCATGAGGTATATTCCTCCTGTCATCAACAGTTGGTCTTAATTTCAGAAGCTGGGGTGGAACTTGTTAGGCTTGAATAAAATTACTGAACAGCTCAACTGATCATGTAACACTTGAACTAACACTAGCAAATTGATACAGTATATGCCAACATGTGACATCAGACCACTTCCACAGCTTCCAAACTTGACCAGAGAGCAAAGAAAGTGTGCTTTAAAAGAAGAGGAAATTATTTTTTTAGCCTCAGCAAAAAAGGACATGTGGACCATGTTTTGTATCTGAATGAATTTTACTGAAAAAACAGTGATAACTTCCTTCTTTAAGAATTGTACATAGTTCTATCAAATGCAGAAAAATCTCTGGGATGTCAGCTGCAATCAAATGAGTTCAAATATAGAAATAAAGACATCCATCCATTTCCTCTGCATCTGCAAAAAATGCTGAGATCTAATTAAGATCAACTGGTCTAAACCCTGAGTGTGTGTGTGTGAGTGTGTGTGTGTGTGTACGAACAGATGGACCATTTAGAGCCTACAACATACAGAGTAAGGACATTTTGGCCGGTCCTGACTTTCTAACCTAATCTTGCTTGTAGGGTGAAGTTAGGGTAAGGGTTAGGCCTTAGTTGTGACAGGGAAGGAATGGATTATGTCAATGTGTGGCCTCACAAAAGATAGAAATACAAGGTTGTTTGATTAGGTTCATGGTTATGTTGGACCCACTTCTCCCTTTTTGTTTCCGTTGTTTAAACACTTAACATTATTATATGAGGGCAGGACAGCTCGTGATGGCTGACTGAATTTATAGAGATATTGCACAAAAACTACATGTGAGGAGCACAGAATAAAATGAGGTACTAAAATGTGTCACGGATCCACATCTTAGCTAAACAATAAGATAATGGTAATGTGTAGCTTACCTCGGTGTAAAAATTGAGTTGTGCAGGAAGTTTTCAAAGACCTTTCGGTAGGATGCGTCAGCAGCTTCCGCCTCCAGGTCCTCCACTGACTTGGGGCAGGGGCAACAGGGACCTTTGTCTCCCCCCTCAGGATCCGGTTTAGTGGGCTTGGTGTCCTCTTCCTGGTCTCCCACACCTATGGCAGCAATCCTTATGGGAATCTTCAGCTCTGCAGAAGGAGGAGGAAGATGTGACCGTGTACACAATGAGCAGTAGAGTGTTGAAGTTGTGTGTCTGTCTATGTGCACACCTTTAGAGCAGTAGTTGTGCTGGTACAGCTCCCTGTCTTCGGCTTGTTGCTGCCATCTCACCAGGTAATAAGTCTGGTTTCCATTTGGTGCGACGGGGGGAGACCAACGCACTACCAGCTGCGTCGTGGAGTTAGAGTATGCTCGCACATCCTGAGGCATGGAGGGCACTGAGAGAGATAAAAGTTGAAATTATTCTGACCTCAGTGTCGTCACCATGTGGCTGCTTGATTTCCACCAGCTTTTAGGAAGCGTCTCTCCTTCAGGGTAGGATGCATACTGTGCCAGTGCAGATGTGATTCACTGACATCACAGCACTGCTTCATCTTTCCACTGCAGCTGGATTTGTTTAGAGCACTCTTCCATTTCACCTAATTGTATTATAGTTTTTGTAAATGGGGTTTTCTCCATCTCTTTGAGTTGCAGCTGTGTGTATTTATAAACTCTCTTCCTCATCTCCTTACAGTACATCTGGATTAAATCCAGGAATGTTATCACACAATCCTGTGTGTATAGTCTGTTAATATCACAGTTTACCAAATTAAATCTAATGTCCATTGGTATATAATCTTATTTTCGAACTTCCTAAAACTACTGATGGTCGGACTTTCCCCCTATACCCATGGATGAGGAAAACTTTTAGAGAGAAAGATTTACTGGAGGTTTAGTAAAAACAACAATTTACTCTTTTAGCGCCTCTATATCATTTGCAGCCATTCTAGGATTATAGGAACATAAGTTTTCTCTACTCTCAGTCTATGTTTACCTGAGGGGCTTGTGCGGATGTAGACCACCTTGCTCTTGGCAGTCGGCATATGTTTATCCTCCACCTTAAGCATGATAGCCTTGACGAAGATGGCATACTGTGTCCAGGGTTTCAGAGCAGACAGCAGAACGCCAGGGTCTGAGTCCTTGTCCAGCCTCAGCTCCACGTCCACCATGTTCCAGCTGTTGGAGCCACAGCCGTCCTGCCCCTCAAACTCTGTGATGTTCTGGAAAGGCCTGGAAAGAAGAAAATGAGAGGTTCATAGATAATCACGAACCTTTAAGCTTTGTTAATTACAGTAACATCCATAATATAAGCCCTTTTTCCCCAGATCTAAAAACCCACTGACATCCACTAACATCTGGCTTTTGCAGTGAGAATGGAAATAATCAGCATTAACTCCCGGGTCAAATGACTCTGCAAGTTTTTATCGGCTCCGATCAGCAGTGATGAAACACAAACTGGTGACTCATTTCTCTTTTGTCTTTACTTTGGTAGTCTAGAAGCTGATGCTGCACTTTTTCTGAGCAACATAATGATGCGCATGCAACTGGTGTTGGAAATGGCAATGAATGTTTGTGTATTTATAGTATAGTAATATTTATATATTGATTTTCATTGACCGGTTTTATTCTTGTGTTTATGTATAAAACTGATGCAAACAAACCCTAAATGGCATTTAATAAAACACCATGTGTTTCCATCCACGGTTATTTATTTGCACTTTCCATCTTGATTGAAAATTAAGTGTGTGTAAGTTAAATGGAATGAATATCTCAAATTAACAGAAAATGTAATGTTTTCTCCATTGCTTTGGTTCATTTAAAGTTTCACTGAGGTATTTTTATGTCATCTTCTCTTCTAACATTTTGATGGTACATGAACTTAGACTGCCACTGTTTACCCTATTTATTGCTCAGTGCATTTTAAGTCCTGTTGGTCGATGTAAAATAACCTGGGGAAATTGAGTTGCAGTTCATTTCACTGCTGCGATCAGTAGCCAATGACTGGGGCTACTCTGAAACACTTACGCCTCCTTGTAGTAGACAATAAAGCTGATGAGGTCCCTGTAGTCAGGAGGCCTGTACCGCTGCCAGGTCAGTTTGATCCGCGTGCTGCTGGTGGTGTTGGACTTAAAATTCAGGATAGTGCTTTCACCTAGGAGGGATTGGGAAAAGAGTTCAAATCAAAGTACTTCAGTATGTTTCTGTTAAAATGTGCAGCAATTAGTCATGTTGACAGAGTAATGCAGTAAATACTGACACATGGTGCAGAGCAACATCAGACTCAGGAGGTGTTTGGAAACTGCTAGTAAAGTAGAGTATCTCCTGCACATGAACTGGACATAGCAATTTACATGTTTGTGGTTGTAAGACTGATTTGACTGATTTGACCCTTACAGCTGGCTCGGTCGCCGTTGTATCGGAAATCGCCCTCATCAAAGCGGCCCTGGATACCCGTTTTGTCCCACATGTTGCGGATCTCAGACCTGCACAGCTTCGGGTTGGCTCTGAAGAACAGCTTCCCTGTTTTGATAGTGAGATTGTGCTGTTTCCAGTCCCAAAGATACTGGAGCTGCTGGTTGTCAAACGCTGAGAAGGCGTACATGCTGGAGGGCAGAAAGAGGATGAATGAAAGACAACAATTAGTCTCTTAGTTGTATATTCACTATGTACTCTTTCTGCTTAAGGTTATGTGTGGATCAAAATTTTTGTCAAGCTGGAACAATTTTCCCACCAGGAGCAATGCCTTATTTTCAGTGCATATGGAAAAAATGCACAATGAGGTGTCAAAGAAAGGGGATTTTGCAGAGGAGATGAGAAGAAGGGATAGGAGCTTTAATGAGTCATTGGGTAACACCCAGACATCCAGGAATGACTGTAATGTGTGCCTTGGGATGGTAAGATTCCTGTGAGCTCAAGGAGAAGCAGAAAGAGGGGGGAGTGATGGCCACTTCATGACCCTGAGAGAGCCTTTCCTTGGAAGTTAAGCTGCGTTCAAGGTCTTATAAAAAAAAAAAGGGGGGATATGCAGTTGATTTTCTCTCAAGTTAAAAACAAGATTCTTGAGTGAGTTTTTTTATACTTTGGTGACAGTACAGTTATCCAAACCAAAACATGGAAGTCTGTCTATGTTCCAGTCTGCACCCTCACAGACAAAATAACATTTCAGTGATGACCTCGACCAACCACATCATAAAACAAACACTACACAAGGTTCTTTCCTCACATTAGTTAGAGTGTTGCAACAAAACATCATTTTTCAAAGTCTGATGCTGAGAATAGTCACTAGAGCTGCTTTTCCATACAGCCCCCCCTGAAACTATTCAAAGGGGCAGATGTGAGAAGGCAGATGTCCTTGTCAGAGGCTGTGGACATTTTCTTGGGTTTTTCCACCAGCAAAAACTCTGAATGTTGTCAAGTCCATGTTATAATACAGGAGGAAATTATCTGAAGGATTCCTCGCAAGCGAGTGGGATCATTAACACGGGACAGATGCAAAATTGAACTAAAAAGTGCTGAAGACGTAAACTTGATATGACAAAGAAATTCTAGAGCTTATGGAGATGAGGGCCGAAGCCAGAGTCCAAGTGTTGTAAACTAAAACACATGATCTCCGCAGTGAAATTAACATATTAAGTCCTGCCTCTGCCTGCTGCCCCACCCCTCACCTAAAAAATTTGGAAATGTTCCTATGAACATGTCTAACGAGAATCCTATACTGCGTTGTTCATATGTTAAAGGCAAAGTCCAGAGAAGGAGTGGACTCCACTGAAAATGAGTATTACCTTTTCAGGGGAATCCTCCTTAATAAATTTTATTATCATTTATTATTGTGAGAGAACAAGAGAGCAGAACTTCACTAAAAGTGTGACCATACATTAACATCTGTGTGTGTGCATGTTCGTACTCATCCAGAAGGTCTTCTCCGTCGATGTATCTGAGGCTGCGGAGGAAGGCCAGGGAGCTCAGAGTGTGAGAGTGTCTGATCCGCACATATCCCGTCACCCTCTGAATTAAACCAGTAAAACTCTCCAGCTCTGCCACCATGTTGTCTGAAACACACACACGCACACAAACTCCTGTTATTAATTATGTATTCACATATCTTATTCATATAGTCTAATTATGTTTTTACACATTCAGTTTTTATTAGTGACTAAACTCGGTTCATGACATCATTATGTTTGAGCTAAATGGAGCTTGTATATTTGAGGTATTTGTTGAGAGACATACTGAAAACCTCTTCGGCAAATCGTTAATGAACAAAAGCCTGCCTGAATAACCTCTTCTATGTGCTACTATTTTTTCCTCTCAATTCTTTACTGCCCTATTTGCCTCCTTGAATATGATTTTTTTCAAATCATCTAATTATACAGTTGCAAGTAGTAATCGACTTCAATTAATCTTACTGATATCTGGCGAGGAGATAATCAGGATTCAACTCTTTAACAAGAATTCCAGAAATTCGTTTTTAGATACTCAAATTTTGAAATAATAAAACAACTTAACCAACACAGTCAACTTAAGCAAACACATGTGTTCAAGTGAATAATATATTGGGTATAAATCTTAATTTACATTCATCAGTGTTGTTACATTTGTTAATAATATTAGATATATTTTTAAAGAAGCAAAAAAATGTGGGTTTAATATATAAACCCTATCACCGCCCTGCCCTCTGAACATCGGCATCAGCCACTGAGAAAACCCAAAGCAGTCAACTATGAGTTCCTAGTCTTTCAGGACTGATCCTAGTCTTTCAGGACTGATGCTAGCGTTGCTCCTACTAGCACAGGACACTAATGTGCCACTGCTGCAACAGAGAGAGAGAGATGTTCACCTGTTTATTGAAAGTTCGGTGAAGCTCGACTCAGTACGCAGAACCGAACCCAGAGAACTAGAGAATGGGTTGATGTTGACATTGTCGTAAAAGTGCCCGTTACTGAGAACACACTGTTGTGATCAACAACGACACTAACGGTCATGAGTGCAGTCCCAGCCGCCACTGCTAGAGAGCGCTGGTTGCATGTTTATTCAAATTGTATTAATATTGACTGTATATGATGTCCAAATCGCACAACATTTACCTGAACATGTAAGAGGAAACTGATGAATAACGTCATTATCATTATTTTTAGTTGAAAAGTGCATACAATTATCTTCAGAGGATAAAGTTAGGCAAAATATTTTGTGTACCACAAAGATGGTGGTTATCTACAAGAATATAGTCTTTCCTAATTGGAAAAATGTTGTGAAATAATGTAAATAAACAGGGATCTAACTTTTCCTTTTGATGTCATCATTCAATAGTTATTAACATAATTGCTTAGACCTGTTGATAAACATGTAGGGCGTGGTGAACTAAGAATAAACTCCTCTGTCCTTTAACCAACACTGGAAGCAGTGGAAATGTTAGCTGTCGTGTTGTGGTGGTATCGTGCTGCGGTACTTACGGCCTCGGCGGATGTTGATATGCAGGTTGCCTTTAATAACAGTGCAGCCTTTGAGAGACTGAGCAGCGTCCATGGAGTCAATGACCTTCTCCTCACACACTTTATCACACAGACCATCACAGGCTGTACAGTTCATACTGGAGACAGACAGAAAGTAATAGTAAGAGACAGTATGTGCAGTATGTCACTGACACACGTTGCTTATCTATAGTCTTTACAGTCTCCCCTGACCTTTACTTTTCATTCTGTCCCTGAAAGAGTGTATGTCGAGTGTTTCACAGGATCAGCCAAATGATGTCTGAGATGACAAGATTTAACCTGAAACTTCCATTAAACAAACAAGCGGCCTTTTATTGTAGTTGTTCCATTACACTCTGTCCTTGCCCTGACGAAACTTAAGAATGAAAACTAATGACAGGGTGTGGAATTGGTACCAATGTCAGGCCAACAATAAGAGTACCTCCACCCAGTGGCTCCTTCCCAGCCTAGCTCAGCATAAACTGCGGCTCACCTGTTGGGTGTAGTGCGCGTGTACCCAGATGGGCATTCGGGCATGCACTCTCCACTGTGGATGATGAAGCTGTCGAACTCTGGGAGGTGGACTTTGGAGCAGAGCTCGGCGCTGATGCAGCGCCAGCCCTCGAACTTGTAGGTGCCGGGAGGGCAGTCGGCCACACAGCGCCCTTGGTGGTAGTAATGCATGCATGCGGCACATGCTGTGTCGCTATAGGGGGCCGTGCAGCTGCCTAGACACTGAGGGTGGCAGCACTCGCCGTCCGCTGTACACGCTCGCCGCACACACTTCTCGGGGCATTCTGGTAGGGAGACAGAGTGAGAGGGAGTTCTTTTTCCTACAAATCGTAAGTGACAGTAAGACACATCAGGATATCCATTTGATACTACTCCACGGTACACATGTGGGGACATAGGGACAGCTTCCTAGAATGTTCAAGGCTAAAAGCTCCATTTAATATCAGTGTTGATCTAGATCTATTGTAGCAGAAGGATGGGGTTTTCCTTGGGGTTTTGGATTGTTGGTCAGACACAACAAGACAACTGCAGAAGTCACACTGGTCTCTGATGGATATTTTTCATCATCCTTTGGACATTCGATTGATCATGACAATAAAAAAGCAGCTCTAGTTAAAATACACATCTGCTCAGGGTATTACAGACAACCCGCCTGAGTCTCCCTGTTCTTGTGATCTGCATCCAACAACAAAGAACACAGAGTAAAGATGCATTACCCCATTTTTAGCAAATGAAAGAGCCTCAAAAATAAACACAAGTAGTGAGTCTTCAGCTCAAATTAGCCTCTGGCAGGACGCTGCTGGCTACAGTCCTGAACAAATGATTTAGACTTACTAGAGAATGACTGACAATGAGTATGTACACACATGTGAACCAGCTCAGAATAGAGCTTGTTAAACACCAAATAAAAACAGGCAATCAAAAGGAAGTCGTGCAAACTGCTTCATAGCCAATCAACAACTCTGTATGTGTAAAAAAAATTCAGCCAACAAAACCAAATCCAACAAACAGCGAGTCAGAGCTTTTGTCCAACTCAGTTGTTGGTGTTGAGCCCAGTAGTGCAGTGGGAGGCTCATCCCAGATCCACAGCGACAAAAGCCCCTCCGGTACGGGTTTTCCAACCAGCACAGCTACAAATAACTCCTCTAGTTGCTGTGGTGTCCCTCTAAATAAGAGGATACTGTAACTGATGACAGGAAAAACTGATTGGGAGCTACAGAGTGAAAACACTGGACTGACCTACGTATGGAACGGAGCCGCACCTTCCGGCTGCCTTTGTCTTGACAGTAGAGGAGTTTAAATCAAGTATGATGGAGACAGAGAGCAAGCAGACACTACAACAGCTCAATTCCCAAGTTAACACCTTAACTGAGAGAGCAGGGAAGTAAATGATTACATGTTTGGGTCCAGAATTGGCCTCACTGAACTCAACTGCAGTTCCTCCCAATGACAGAGGTTCCATTTAGCCCCTTACCACCACAGAGACGGAGAAAGAATCCACAGAGCGTAATGTTTCTTTCAAAGCACTTACTCTATCTGCCACAGAGACAAACACCAACTGCTAAGGAATAACAAAAACTCACTTCTTAAATTATTCTGTGTGTGTTAGTGAAGTGTCCTTGAGGGCATAAACAAAGGGGCAGGCATATCTGAATGAAAAACAACTCCACGAACAAAAGACTGTAATTTTCATTATGTCATCTGCTTAGGTTAACCAGAGGCTGTGTTTACAGAGAAACCAAGCAAAGAGAAGTTATGGGAAATCATGTCGGATGCTGAGAGAAAAAAACACAGAGACACGTTTCAACATGTTGCCTCTATTAGCTATGTCGAAAAAAACGGAAGACACCGTGGCCAAGGGGTTTGTCTACCCCTGCTGTAGTAACAACAGTACATTTTAGTATTCCATAAAGACTCCAGAATCTGTGTTTTAGTCATCGAACTTGCAGCATGTTCTTGTTATATTACTGTATTCAAAATGGATGAACTGAAAGAGCTGAACGCTCACTGTAAAGCTCTTTGAAGAACAGCCTCCTTAAAAAAGAAAAAGAAAACAGATGTCAAATTGGAAAAGGAAGTCATTCCCAGGGCCTAAGACACAACAGAAAAGTTCCAACCATCTGGTTGATCTTTTACCTCTAAAATTTAGCTTGAGCTCAGCGCTCAAAGGAAGTGTGGTTTTTGGGAAACATGTCTTTAAAGCTGCGTGCCAGCAGCTCATCCTACAGCAAAATACTTCCCACTTATTGACTAATTGTAGCAGCTATAATGTTCAACAATAAAGTTTGTTTATATGGCGTTTTAAACACATCAGGACATTACCAGCATTTCCACACTTAAAACAATGTGCAGTGTTTTCCAGTGGTTCCCATTAATTATCTAGACTGCGGCGGCCTGCCATATTCTACTTTGTCCTGCCACTGTTTCATAATGAACCAAAAACATTCATTACTTATAATAACATAAAGGTTCTCTGGACAAGGATTCTTCATGCCATTATTTTTGGACATAAGTTTACCTCAAAAGAGTTCTCTAACTTGGATATTTTCAGCGCTACCAGCCACATGCTCGCTCACACTGTTGCATGCTACTGTATGCTCACGTTAAGGTCCATAACAATTTTACCATACAAGCAGACGGTCAGACCTCGTAGTTTCAGCTACAGTTGTGGTATGCAATTCAGTTTTTTGTCTCAACGGAGAAACAATCTGTCAATCTGAATCCGTTGTGTGTGAGTGACCTTCATGCTCATGCACCTGTACCACTGTTACTACCATGGATTGAATTGATTTTGGCAGAAATGCTGATGTGCATCTTTTATTATGCATTCATGAAGATACAGGTTGGTAGAGGTACGGTGACTTTGTTGTCTGAAAAAAAAAAGAAGCAAAAACACTGGCATCTGTGGCCCTCACTACCAATGATTTCATTCAGACCAGATTAAAAGGATTCTCTGGCATATCTGTCTGTCACTAGCCGACCTGCCTGCCTGCGTGCACCAGGACCATGCTCTCACTGCACATAAGGTGGAGAGACATACACCACTGAAGCAGAGATGATAGCCAGAAGTTTGAGAGAGTCATGCAAAAGTCAGCTTCTAGCAGTTGTCAGGCAGTGCACAGTCATTTGTTTTGTGGGGCTACAGAGAAAATGAAAGTAGCCATTTTGAGCAACAACTCCACTTTTTTTGTATCTGTTAGTACTTATCTGGCCAAATACTGGTATTAACTAAACACCAACACCTTGAATCCAGCACACCTGCTTGGAAGTACCTAGTATGCATGGAAAAAAAATGTGACATCACTTTCCCATTTAGAAAAGCATGTGACTGGATCTGAATTCAGGAAGAAGAAGTCTACTGTCCTTCCCATTGGACAAAGACTGACCATCAGGCAGTGACCATGAGATGACCTTCCGGGGCTGCCTACCGACTGACACGGAAGCCAATCAGGCCCTTCAGACTGTGTGGTCCCACCAACCATTCAGCAGGGTGTTCATGCTCTGCGGGAGAAAACCAGTGCTGCATTTCTCTGGTACAGAATGTTCTTTCTCTGCTTGGAGCCCCCACCGCCCCCCGACTCCATCTCGCCCTCTGACCCCTTCATGGGGTGATGGGAGCTGTGCTGGAAAGGTGTAATTTTGCAGTGTGCCTGTAGAGAGCTGAGGAGGGGTTGAAGAGGGAGATCCTCCCTGTCTTCGGTTTGGAGCTCCTAGTCTGAAGCCTCCTCACTGAGTGACCAGAGGTGGAGGGGTAGATGGGTACACAGCGTACATCGGCTGCTACATAATAGATCCCAGCTTTTATCCTCTGTCTCCTCCCTGCTACACTTTAAGAGAGAGGTTAATGCAGAGCTACAGCTCAAGGGGAGGAGGTGAAGGATTAAGAGGAAAAAGAAGGGGCAGAGGAGGAGAATGTAGATGGATGAGGGAAAGAATGAACTACAGAGGAGGAGGAATTAGATGTGGTAAGGAGGACAGAAGGAACACGCACACGCACACACATACACACACACACGGCTGCCAGCTGGGGGAGCCAGACAACACAAATTAACACAAACAGAAACGTGTACCATAACAAAACATAAGATATTTTTATTGTTTGAGTTTTCTGCATATGTGATATTACAAATCTATGAATGTATCCATCCACACAAGTCAAGCGTATTTCCTGTATCGTTGCCTCAGTCAGAAACTTAAAGGATGGCTTGTAAAACGTTACTGTACATTTTGCAGTCCATTCTGTCATTACAGGGCACTCACTCCACTGTGGGATAAAGATCGCTGCTGTGGGTCAAAAAGCCAATTCGGGTCGTCCAGGGAAACAGACATACCAGCCCAGCAGGAAGGTCGGCTTGGAAACTCACACCAGTCACCAGCTGGATGGCGGGAAAATGTCTGTGTCTAATTTATTCTAGTTTATCATTATTATTCTAGCAGCCACTTGATAAAGTAACACACGCAAATATGAAGAAAAAATAACTTCAGAGAACTTACTATTTTATTCTAAGTATCTTGCAAGCTGGTTAAACAATGGGAGTGGCAGGTAGCTGTTTTTCCCCCTCTCTTTCTCTGAGATCAGCTGATCGAATAAGAATTAAAAGCCTTTCCGATTGTTAATCCTTATTTTCAGCCCCCCTCCTCAAGGTGATACGAACAGGATGTACCACACAGACTTGAGTTGCTATGATGACGCTCCAGGCTTTAGCAGAATTACCTAGTGCCACCGACAGCAACACGAGAACAGGGAGAGAGGGATGTCTACATTGGTTTCTATCCCAACAGCACTAACCAGAAATTCATCAGTCAATATGTCAGGAGGTTCAACCTTAAATACATGGTATAGCAGTGTTTCCGATTACCGATCTGAAGTTCAGCTAATTAGTTACCACATTTTTTGTTACCACATTAGTTAACACTGTTTTTACACTGCTGCTTCATCAATGCATTGATCATCTCTGCCTCTCCTTAACCTGTGGTATCTTCCCGCTCGCTCTCTCTCTCTCTCTCAAACAAACATTGACAACGTCAAATTCAAAAAAACAGTGTTCCAATAAATAAACTAGAATGGCACTCAATGCATACCTTTGCTAAGGCCCAACAGTCTCCCTGTGAAATATATTTAAATTCACTAGATCTAGATTTTGAGTTGGATCTGCACCAAATTGCCCACACTCATAAGCATCAGTCCCTTATCTGATATCTTTTATCTTATTCTCTGAGAAATGTTGAAAAATGTCATACCTCACAATTTTAAAGAAAGTGAAAAACATTTTGGGGTTCCTCC